ACTAGATAGTTGTAATTTCCTCAGTTATGATAAAAGATAAGTTAGATATAAAACCTTAAAGTCACAAATATAAGATAGATAGGACATCTTTAATATTGTAACTATAATTCTTGCTCGGTAATTGTTTTGTTATATATAATTTTACCATGTTAAAGTTAAAACCTTCCTTTTTAAAAAAAAAGAAAACAGGGGAAGTGCTGTGGATATTGTTCTATATAAATAAAACACTGATGGCCAGTGACCAGGCAGGAAGTAGGTTGCCAGGCAGGAAGTAGGTGGGACAAGGAGAGAGGAGAATTCTGGGAAGCGAAAGGCGGAGGGGAGAGAGACTGCAGCCACCGCCAGGACAAGCAGCATGTGAAGACGCTGGTAAGCCACCAGCCACGTGGCAAGGTATAGATTTATAGAAATGGGTTAATTTAAGATAAAAGAACAGTTAACAAGAAGCCTGCCACGGCCATACAGTTTATAAGTGATATAAGCCTCTGAGTGATTATTTTATAAGTGGATTGTGGGACTGCGGGGCTTGGGGAACCTGGAGAGAAGCCCTCCAGCAACACTCACCCATCATTCTGGCAGCTGTGGGACTGTGCAGGTCAGCGGGTCCCTCTTGGGGTTCAAGGTCTGATTCTTATCCAAGCCTTGCTATTATTGCTGTGAGTAGCTTCAGACAGATTTCTTTACTTTGTTCACCTCTCACCCCTAATCTCTCTCCTCTTTAGTACTTCGGGCTTCTCCGCTGTCCCCCCACCCCCCATGGACAGTTCAAGGGACAAGGCCTTGGGATACCTGCCAAACGACATTTTTAAGAAGAGGCCACATGAGATTCTGGAAGCTGGTAGAATATTTCCCTCTGAATGAGTCCATTCCCTAGCACACATGCCCCTGGCCTCCTGGATCCCTCTTGAGGAGTATGACAAAATGGTCAGGGATGAACCAGGGAAGAGCTGGTGAAGAGACCAGATCCCATGACAGCCTCTCAATACAAAGTTAGAATTGCCATGGAGGTTGGGGGCCCTGATTGCCTGAGGCTGAGACAGCTCTGTCCTTAACCACCTCTTCCATGCCTTCTCAGGGTAGTGCTTGTGGGGAAGCGACAAAAGGCACAGAAGACATGCTCATCGTGGCCTCTTCCTGGAGGCGGTATCTATGCAGTGTAACAAGTTACCACAAAAGGGTCCCCCGGGAACAGGCAGCTTATCGACTCAGAGTTTCTGTAGGGTGGGGCAGAGAACATTGGCTCAGTTTGCTGAGTTCAGATCCCCATCACCCACAGAGAAGCCCATTCCTGGGGTGTTCTTGTAATCCCTGTGTGTGAAGGCAGAGACAGGAGGATTCCTGGGTTTGCTTGACAGCCAGTCTAGCCAATCAGTGACCTCCAGATTCAGTGAGCACTTCTGTCTGTCTTGAAGGTAGAGAAGTGATTAAGGAAAACATACAGTGTGGACTTAAGGCCTAAACACACCCCCACGATCAGATCATATTCACACATGAACATATGCACACACATACGAGAGAGAGAGAGAGAGAGAGAGAGAGAGAGAGAGACAGACAGACAGACAGAGAGAGAGAGAGAGAGAGAGAGAGAGAGAGAGAGAGAGAGAGAGAGAGAGAGAGAGAGAATTTCTATAGGCGTGGCCAGTTTGGTTTCCCTCAATGTCTTACAGGGCTGAGCCCACAACATTAACCAGGGCTATGGCCTCACCTTAGTCCCCTTCCAGTCTCATGGAGGTGTTGGTGGAACTGGCTTCATGCAGCTGTGGGCCCAGCTGTTTTATCGGTGCAGCAACGATGCCCAAAGGCCTTGATCTCAGCTCTGTGTCACGTTGCTTGTAGCTGTGTGATGAAAGGTCGAGGAAAGACGAACCGTGACTCACAATGGCTCTTTCTCACTTTCCCCCACTGCACTGAGGACAGAGCTGTCCCGAGTCCCCAGCCTCCACATTGGTCCCGCCACCTGTGACTGGTGGTGTCTGACTCCTTAAAGTCACCTTTACACATCTTCATTAGAAATTAGAAATGCAGCTTGGAATAACAGAGGGTGAATCAGAAATTAGAATCAGAAGTCAGAGGGAGGGGCTGTGTTGGTTAGACCCAAGGCGCAGCTTCCGGCATTTAGGCTTGTCTACATCTTGACAGGAACTAACAGTGCATGAAACAGAACCACTGACAGGCCTGAGCAGAGACTGCATCTCTCCTGGGCGGCCTGCTTCTCTGCCTTGGCAGGACCAATGATGTCCTAACTTTGGTTCCTCATACATGAAGCTTGATTTGTTCCTGCCAGAATTTGACCAAGATTTTCAAAGGGCACAGGAAGCTGTGGGTACAAAATGTCCACATTGCCTTGTCAGCTTGTGTAGACTGAGAAGACACTTGTGGAGGCCCTGGGGAACACATCGGGGTGGGAGACATTTATGCTCTGTGGCTGAGGGAGACACAAGCAGCGTTTGCCTTAGCAAAGTGTCTCTGTGCACCGCGACATGTACGCCTCCCTACGCCAGAAGTCATTGAGACAGACACTTAGCCGAGTACCTCCTATTAAATTTGAGATTAATTTTGTTAGAACATACTGTACATACATTTCTCATCTTGTTCAAGGTATTGTACCTATATAACTCATTAGCAATGTAATACAAATTGCTAGTCCTTGAAAGTTATTATTACCAACTAATTAGGATAAAAAGAAATGAAAGTTAGTAGTTAGTCATTACAATCAAACTTGTAAGTCATGTTAGGTATGATTTCAAGGTCAAACAGATGTTTTTAGATAGACAGGTCATCTTCAAACACTTCAGAGATCTACAGAATATGGCATTTAAGATGTTTTAGTAACATAGATTCTTTTTTCTTTTCTTTTTTTTATGACTATGAGACATGACTGCTCCTGGCAGCACCAATCTACTACAGAGAAGATGATGGGCATTGAAGAAACTCCACATGGAGTTTACTCTCTTTGTGGCAAAAGTTAGCCACTGGGCAAGAAAGTGCCCTTGCCTCAGCTGCTGACAGTATGCTGTCCAAATGGACAAGCAGGACATAAAAGAAAGGACGGCTGAACTTTGCTAAGATAACCTAGGAAGGCCTTTCAGAATATCCTGCTTCACAGATGAGTCTGTCAGATATTCTAGGCCTGTAGGCTGAAGATGGATGCCCCAGCATTGCAGAGGAACCTTGAGTGACTGTCCAGGGAGCCAGCTGTTTCTGTCATTTCTCACATTTTTTTGGAAGTTGTTTGCTTGCACTTCCTGATTTCTTAGGTAATATTATTTCCTTCTTGGGTCTCTGAGGGAGTTGAAGATTAGGTGGTTATAGTTTTCCTCATTAACAAATTCAGAAAAGAAACTCACTAAAGAGGTATAAAGTATATACATTTGAAAGATGTCAAAAGATAGCATTTGGTTGGTAATACAAATTAGAATAGAAAGTGAATTAGCTACATTTTGGACTCACCAAAAAAAAAAAAAAAAAAAGGATAGAAAATGGAATATTTTCTCTGAATCTGTCAAATGTTTATGGAATGGACATTGTTAATATAATTCTTGACTGTATATATTGTATATATGTGTATATAGCTTTTATATTAGTTATAGCCTTCTTTTATTATTTTAGACAAAAAAAGGGGAAATGTGATGATATATTATATACCTTAATTAATTTGCCTGAAGATCAGAGAACAGAACAAGTCACTAGATTAAACATAGAAGCCAGGCAGTGGTGGCACACATCCTTAATCCCAGTACTTGGGAGTCACACACCTTTAATTCCAACACTAGGAAAGCTGAGACAGGAAATGATGTGGGTGGGCAGAGAAAGGTATACAAAGTGTGAGGAGACAGGAACTAAAGCCTTTCAGCTGACAAAAGCTTTTCAGGCTGAGGAGTCCTAGAGGTAAGAGGTGGCTTGTTCCTTTGTCTCTCTGATCTTTCAGTATTCACCCCAATATCAGGCTCCGGGTATTTTATTAACGACCGTTTACACTGCTCTTACCGCTAACCTGTGCCATGGCTCAGCACAGTCGTCCCCCCTCCACCGCTGGCTAGAGTCAAACTATGGACAGGAAGCACCATAGCCTCAAAGATGCTTCCTTCCAGAGAAGCTTCTTATCGCTGAGGACAGTTTAGAGATGCGCTGATGAAAACACAGGAGTTAAGAAGAGAGCGAGTGTGGAGACAGGTTCTAGCTTATGCAGAGGCCTGGAGGCAAGAGTTGCTCCCAGCATGCTGCATCTATTGCAGAAACTCAAGTCCCTTATAAGACACGTGGCTTGGTGACTAAAGAATGCAGGTAGGGCCGGGCGGTGGTGGCGCACGCCTTTAATCCCAGCACTCGGGAGGCAGAGGCAGGCGGATCTCTGTGAGTTCGAGGCCAGCCTGGTCTACAGAGTGAGTTCTAGGAAAGGCGCAAAGCTACACAGAGAAACCCTGTCTTGAAAAAAAAAAAAAAGAATGCAGGTAGGATAATAAACAAGCAAACAAACAAAAGATAATAATAAAATAGAAGTTGGAAGTGTCACTGTCTTTGATGCTTAAACGTGTTTTGAAAGACTGTGTGTGCACACGTGAGACAGACAGGCACACGCACACACAGTTAAACACAAATCCTTTAAGGTGACTCTCCACAACTTGGGTGACATTCCCAAGCCTCAGGAATCAGTCTGTCTGCAAATACTGAAAGCAGGAAGCCATCTGCTGCCTTGATGTAGATGCTCAGAGGAACGTGTGGTAGCAACGCTTTTAGCTGCAGACTGAGGCCCTGCAGTGAGCACCAAGGCAGGTGTGCTTCTGGGTTCTGTTGCTGTCCTGCTGGGCCAGGCTGTGGTGTCAGTTCACACAGCCTGCGGTCCTGACAGGAAGGCTGGGGTGACAACATGCTCCCACCCCTGACACAGATACCACTGTCCTTTGTGTTTTAATCGTCGTTGTTTTGGAAAAGCCTGAAAAGAGGCTTTTTGTGCCCGTAGGTGTGTGACCTGGATGGGACAGAGGGACCCGAGGACTGCCTGTGCTGGCCAGGAGGGACAGAGCACTATCCACTTCGGGCTCAGCAGATGTCCTTTCTGGCACTTTGTGTCATTTGCCTTCCTCGGCACCCGGTCCCTTTTAAACTATGCCACAGAATGATACCAGCTAAGAACAAAAGTATCTTCCCCTAGATCGCCTAGAAAACAAAAAGAACGAAGGGAAGGGACTTAGCGAGTCCTCGGGTCACCGCAGGGTAACTGGGACAGAGCCCTGCTCTGGCACCTCTAGTTCTCAGCAAACGCGTGATGATAGACACACACACACACACACCCCACTCTGGGAGCAGGTCAGGCCAGGCTAGCCCCGGGCCACCCTGGCAGTCAAGCCTGTGGCAGGCCACCCTACCCTGCCTGTCCCTCTCCTGTAGAGTCTCATTCTGAAGCGTGTTTCTGTGGCTGTCGTCCTCTGCTCCCTCTGAGTCTGATGGTCCATGTACCGGTTACCATGGTAACAGGAAAGCCCTGCTGTATTTGAAGTTAGCCAGAAGCATGAAGCTGGTGTGTCTGTCTTCTCATGGCCGCAGAAGCCTACCCCTGGGCATTCCTAGGCTGGAAGACTAGTCTGCCCACAGCTGTCCAAACCACCTGGAAAGTTACTACCTCAACCACTACACGGGGGTAGACTGCATAGGACAGACTGAAATCAGAAATGCCCGAAGGATGGAAGAGAAGACACAGCCCTGATCCTCTGTCCAGTGGTGACAGAGAAAGTGAGACAAGATGAAGGCCAGGGGAAGTCAAGAGGATGAGGGAGGGGGACGTGGTCCTCACCCTGGAATCCGGCTTAAGTCTCTCACCAGAGTTAAGAATTTCACCTAAGAGTAACAACAATACGATCGTCATGAGGCTAGCCTGCAGAGAGACAATATTCCTACTTTAACGTGTTTTCATCAGGTTCTCATATAGTCCAGGCTAGCCTCCCTGCATCTCACATAGTCCAGGCTAGCTTCCGACTCACTAAGAAGATGGCCTTGAACAGCTGATCCTCCTGCGTGGCCACCGTGATCCCGACAGTCATGCTGGGATGGGCCCAGGGCTTTGGGGTGCCAGGCAAGCACTCTGCAACTGAGTCTCTTTTGGCCTACTTTTTTCTTTCAATCTCACTCACTGCAACCTGTACAAAATTTCATTAAGTCTGTACAGCACACTTCATAAACCACTTAGAAACATTCTTCAGATACAAATAAGTCCAACAAATGTTTTGCTTAACATTTTAAATCCTACAAACAGTGTAAATTCAGAAGACACCAAAATCTTATTCAGAGTTAAAACACTTAAGCTCCTCTCTCCCTCTCCCCCACCTTGTCTCTCTGAACTTCACATTGGATGTGTACAGTTCTTAAGCTTCAACACCTGTGTGTGCTACATCACTGCTGAATGCTTCTCTTAATCAACTCCACTCTGCTTCATTCTGACCAGACTGAAATTCTTTCTGCAGCGTAAGTCAAGAATCCCAAGCGCACCTGGGTGCAGACGGCACCCAGAACTCTTCAGGCTGCACCCCCAGGCTGTGTCTCCAGCTGTCTGACATACCCAGGTGTGCTTACCACCTCTGCATCTGAGAACGCTTTACTATATGAATAAATTCCCCAAGTGACTGTCTCTCTCTCCTCCACCTTGGCACTGTGGATTGCCAGAGGTCTGCTCTCGGGGCCTGGGACTTACTTCATCATGCTGTCTCTGCTCCCACGTGGTTCAACTCCAGGTTCAAATGGACGCTTAATGAATGTTTCTGCTGACTTCACTGAGCTAGTCAGTAACCCATGGCAGTGGACAATAGACAAGAGAGAGATCTTCCAGGAGGCTGGGAAGAGAAAGGTACAGGAGTCCTGGTTTTCAGAGATCGGGCTGGGCGATACCCTGGAGAGGAGGTGATCTGAATCATCACATGCGTCTGAAGACATCTCTACCCTGGGGACTGGGAAAATGGCCCCCATCCTTCCACAGACAAGCAGCTAATGCCATGGAGTTCTAGATGTCTCTATTATGTCTATGACCCATGACATGACCCATTGACATAATCTGCCTCTGCTTCCATCCATTAAGGCCAATTATCTTTTCATGGACTTTCTGCATAAATCATAGAGAACTGTTTTAGCTGTTGATCCTAACATTTTATAGAAATCATAGTTTCACAGACAGCTAAACACTACCCCGATCTAAACATCAGCTGGTACAGTGAATGATTCACAGTGCTCTCTATCCTGTGTCTTGGAAGATGAGCCACATTTCCATCAGCAGGAAGTGGATTCTACAATATCAATTTGGACTAGTGGGAACCTGGGGAGGGTCACGTTGGCATTTGGGAGTGGGGATGAGAAATGTCAGGCATGTAAATATGTTCTCTAGGGCTCAGAGACCTGGAGAAAGGGGACATGGGGCAGGTACAAGGTGACCAAGATAGTCAAGAACACACCACTGGGAAAAGCAGGTCCCTCCTATCCCCTATGGTTCTGATGCCTTTGTCTATGGGATGCCTTAAGTTGGACAGCATCTGCCTTAGATGAATCAATAAAGATCAAGTAGTGGGGCCACCTACCCAGATCAGTGTTGGAAACCTCCCATTCATTCTCTCTAAGGCCCCTGCGGTAGTTTGAACATAAAATCTCATAGGGAGTGGCACTATTAGGAGGCGTGGCTTGTTGGAGTGGGTACGGCCTTGTTGGAGGAAGTGTGTCACTGTTGGGGTGGGCTTTGTGATTTCCTATGCTCAGGATACTGTCCAGTGTGGGAGTCTGCTTCCCGTTGCCTGCAAGATGTAGGACTCTCCAGCACCACATCTGCCTGCACGTGGTCACACTCCCTGCCATAATGATAATGGACTGAACCTCTGGAACTGTAAGAGAGACCCCTCGGTTAAATGTTTTCTTTATAAGAGTGGCTGTGGCCATGGTGTCTCTTCATCGCAATAGAAACCTAACATAGACAGCCCACTCCTCTCGGCACCTCGGTCCCACTCCAGGATCCTTACACATCACTCCCTGGCGGTGAGTGTCATCTCTCCACCATTGTTTCAGCTCCACTTGTCGGGGAGAACTGTGCTTGCCATTTCCCAGCAGTCACCATTAAACCGTCTCTGTCTTAATGCTCCCGTCCCCTGCTAGGTGGCAAATAGCTGTACCGGTGGGCACAGTGCAAGCTCGCATGTCGGGCATTGCTTTCCTCCATAGCCATGTTGGAAAGCGGTCATGTTCTTCCAGGGAAGTGTGTAGCCTCTTCACAAAGAAGAAAGGATTTCCGGTCACTCCAGGTCACCGATCACTTTCCCACAGAGGTCTCAACCACTCTCAGGAGCTTCTGTCCCCTGATTATCCCAAACGTTGCATCATCCTGTCTTCAAGTTCAGCTTCTCCTGTTTGTTTTCATGGGGGGTGGCAAGCCACTGAGATAAGTGATTCCTTGGTCTTCTCCATGCCACTGTTTAGGCAATAACGTCGGCTACTTTAGAGTGGCCAACCCACGTGGTTTTCCAAGGACAGGATAGTTTCCCCGGCTGTGGGTCTTTGGAGGTAAAAGTCAAGAAGACAATGAGACCGTAGGAATGAATTAGTCATTTGTTGCCTACAGAATGTTTGATTCATTCCCCCTGCCATCGTCCTGGAAACCTCACTGGGTCAGGTTCCTCCCTATTTGTTTGGACCACCGCTCTGGTCTCCTAATGTATTTTGAGGCTGTGGTCTTTCTACCTCAAACTCATCCTGCAAGTAGCTATCAGAGGCATCTCTTTGGAAGCAGTTCTGAGAAGTTAACTCCCCCTCCTGGCTCTCCTGTCGCCCTGCTGGTCCCAGAACTTCTCACAACCTACAGGATAGAGCCAGCAGCTTTACCCAGCACACAGCGGCCTCTGTGCTCGGGATCCTGGCAAGCACTGCCAGCTCTCGGTAACCTGCCAGGCACCTTCACTTGCCAGTGAGCCCAGCAGGACTCTCAGACTCTTCAGCCCTCATTCCGTTGCGTGGCCGTGTTTTGTGTGTCTCCTCCTCGCACCAGCCTCAGTAGCGGAGCCGAAAGATCAGACCTGGAGACCTAGATTCGTGTGCAAGAAAACTGTGCTCATTGCTTTGTGTTGCTGTGACAAGTGATCAAGAGAAACGATTTTAAAAGAGGGACAAGGGTTCGTCGTGGCTCACAATTCAGAGGTTTCTGTCCATGGTCCCTCGGCCTTGTCACTTTGGGCTTGAGTCCAGGCTAAAATTTACGGCAGCAGAAGCCTGTGGTATAAGCGGCCCAACTTCCAGCAGCCAGAAATCCAAAAGGCAGGAAGGGGCCAGGTTAAGATACCCTTCAGACTTGCTCTCATCCATCTTTAAGACTCTCTGGCCAGGCGGTGGTGGCACACGTCTTTAATTCCAGCACTCAGGAGGCAGAGGCAGAAGGATCTCTGTGAGTTTGAAGCTAGCCTGGTCTACAAAGTGAGTTCCAGAAAAGCCAAGGCTATACAAAAAGAAACCCTGTCTCAAAAACAAAAATCCAAAAACAAATGAGCAAACAAAAAGACTGAATAGTTTAGTCAGATGTATTAGCTGGGTGATGGTGGCGCACACCTGTAATCATAGCACTTGGGAGGCAGAGGCAGGCGGATCCCTGTGATCAAGGCCAGCCTGATCTACAGAGAGAGTTCCAGGACAGACTCCAAAACTACAGAGAAACCCTGTCTCAAAAAAAAAAAAAAAAAAGGCCAGAGGTTAAGAGCACTGGCTGCTCTTCCAGAGATTGTAAGTTCAATTCCCAGCAACCACATGGTGGCTCAAAACCAACCATCTATAATGAAATTTGTGCCTTCTCCTGGCATGTAGAACACTGTATATGGAATAAGTAAGTAAGTAAGTAAGTAAGTAAGTAAGTAAATCTTTAAAACAAACAAACAAACAAACAAACAAACAAACTCCCCCGGCCTGGGGCTGTAGAAATGATTCAGTGGTTAAGGCCACTGGCTACTCTTCTGGAGGACCCGGATTCAATTCCCAGCAACCACATGGCAGCTCACAACCATCTGTAGCTCTAGTTCCACGGGATGCAAAACCTTCACATAGACAAACACGCAGGTAAGACACCAATGCACATAAAATGAAATAAAATAAAATAAAATAAAGACTCCCTAAACCGTTGTCTCCTCCCAGAGTGCCTGTCTGAAAGACTTCTACCAAAGCAACAGTTATTCCCTTAGCACTTGGGCCGAGACACAGCTGAGATGTCCCCGTGTGGCTGCGAGTCCTCAAAGCTCATGTTGACCCCACCCGAGGCTCCAAAGCTGAGACATTCTCTCTTAAACGTGTGGGCCATGCTTCCAGAAATCATAAGCACACAATGTGCTTTAACTCTTATGAAACCCCTGTGAGCTAAGTATGGCCATCTTCCCACTGTGAACTACGGAGGCTGAGCCAGGAAGAGGTGAGTGACCCCTTCCCGAGGGCACACAGGCAATGGAGGTGGA